TGGTGACGCTTATATCGCGACCAGTCTCCTTGCCTCCTTCATATTCTTAACACAAACCCCCTCCCCTCCCCGCCCTTGTCCCACCCGAGCCTGTGACCATCACGTTCCGCTCCCCCGTGGAGAAGGTCAGTGTGTTGACACGGCCAGTGTGGCCCTTGAGGATCTGAACGAATGGGGGGAAGGGGGGCCCCAGGCGGGGGAACTTCGGTTTCGGAGCCGGTGCGGTGTGGAGTGCGGATGTGATGTGGAATGAACGGGCCGACCAGTGGGTTCATGTGTTTGGGTTTCGGAGCTGGCCAGGGGGAGCGTATTAGATTTGCCTGTGAAAAGATGGTTCCAAATTGTTATGGTTGTACCCGGTAAAGGGCCCCCTGGTGGGGCTCTGCTCGGGTCCGCTGGCCCTCACTACCCAGATGCAAATGCCGCCCCACCGCCCTCAGCTGCGCATCACCTCCGACCGCCCACCGGTGTGCCTTTCTTTCGGAGAGCCGCGTTGGGTTCGTTAACGTGTGTGTGTGTGCGTGTGGGGGCCGCGGGGGGGGGGTAACACCGCTCTGCGCACTTGGTTGGCAACGCTTTATGGAGAAATGTCGTTCCAAAGGTCTAGAAGGGTCGGCTGTGAATCCCAATTTGTACTCATGCTGCCGTACAAATCCGTACCTCGAGCTCCTTGTACGAATTCCCCTGAAGTCTCCAGACGTGGATGGGCAGCTCGTCTGGGTAGGGTTTGGTTTGGCACCGAGCAGCGCAGTGGGTTTGGGTGGGAGGGTGGGGGAGATTTGGAATGAATTTAGGAGTCGGGGGTAAGGGGGAAGAGAATACACGATGCCGTTGAAGATACCTGTGCCGTACATTTAAGTACGTAGGGGTTTGCGTCCTGGAGTGAACATGTACCACATGGGTTGGTTTTCTTGGCCTCCCCCCTACCCCGCACACGCAAAAAAATACCCAATTCCCCCCCTTCCCCCCATCCCCCTTCCTCTCTCCCCCCTAAAACACGAGAACCGGCATCCCCTCTCCCCCCCCCCCCCGAAACCAAAAAACCCACACACCAGCCTTGATCAGCGCCGTGGGCACGTCCTCCAACTCCTCCGCCCCAATCGGTGCCAGGGCCTTGGGGGCTGCATCCCCCCCTTCCCCGTGCGCCGTCAGCAACTCCCGCCCATGTGGAAGGGAAAAACCCATTGCCGTAACCGTACGGCGGTGCTGTACGGCGATGGCGCACAGCAGCTTGCCAGAGGAGATGTCCCAGATGCGGATGGTGCCGTTGACTGAGGACGGAGGTGGAGGCAGTGTGCGGGGGAGGGCGCGGGCGGGGGGGGATGGGGTGGGGTGGGGGTTAGGGGTTTCCAGGGGTTTAAGACCTCCGCGCCCCTAGTTAGCTACCTAGCTAGCTGACGTGTGTGTTTTGCTCTGCGTGACATCGAACACCGGGCACTTCCGATCTGTAAAATTCCAGTCGAAACTTATCCACTATACAAACATGTACATCGGGACACAGACGGGCACCGTGTACGGAAGGGACAGGCAGACACACGACGTACATACATACACACAGGTCAGGTACTACTGGTAACGCTCACACCAATGCCCCCGGGAGATTCCCGGGTTCGAGACTGGTCAAGGTCGAAACGCCATCCTATGGTGGAAGGTGACAGTGCCCCTATTCGACGAACGGTGGCGACATGGGATAGAAAGTTGATCTGCGAGCTGACCAGGGATGAACTTGAGCCGCCGTTGATCCGGCAGATTCCGTCGGACGCCGGAGGTGGGTGCGGAACCTGAGCGATCCACTGAGAAGTTGGCTTAGGGTGACTGCATGAGAGTGTCCCGAAATACCGAGCCCGGCAGGGTCTGCCGGGTAGCGGCCGCCGGGTGAAGATATGACCCCCCTGTCCCACACATCATACATACATACATACGTACACGCTCTCACGCACCGTGCCCTGCCGCCACACGGCCGCCGCCGGGTGATATAGCCAGCGCAGTGACGGGACCGTCCAGGTCGCCAACTTCTGCCGCCGCGGCAGCGCCGCCCCCAGCTCCCGCCCCCCCTGGCCCCCCCAGCAGCCCCCCGCGAGGCCCCGAGCCGCCCTTCCTGGGCGGCACCTTGCACAGCTCCCACAACAAGCGACCCGTGGCGATCTCCCACACAAACACAGCGCCTAAAAAGGGGTTGGGACGGGAAAGAGAAACACGGAGTGGGAAGCGACGCAGAAGGGAGGGGAAGGGAAGACGGGCTTGGGGAATTACGTGGAGGACGGGGTGGGGGATGGTTAGGGGTTAGGCACGGATGGAGAAGGCAGATTGAGGGTAAGAAGGGGAGGGGTGGGGAAATAGGGGAGGCACGGCTGGTGTGTGTGAACGGAATCTAGGGAGGGAAGGGAATGATATGTGGGGTGAAAATAACTGGTAAAAAGAAAGCGGGGGAAGGAGAGGGGGCAAACGGACCGAGACGGCCACGACCCACAGACAGACAGACAGACAGGAAGGATAACAATACGGCACACCAGCATGACATGACGGCGACGGCGGCGGCGGATCTTGCAATTTCTAAATCTTTTTAGTTTTAGCTCCTCTCATTACTCACGTCCCGCGCAAACGAGCTTGCGTCCATCCGGAGTGAAGAAAGCGGCGGTGGGGTTGGGGCCCATTTCTGTGGACTTGGCAAACGTGAGCAGTTGTCTGGCGCCCCACACGTCCCACAGGGAGATGCCCCGCTGGTCGTCTGGGGGGGTTGGGGGGTGGGGGGGGCGGGGGGGTTGGGGGGGATGGGGGTTGGGGGGTAGGGTAAGGGTGGGGGGTTGGGGGGGTAGGGTAAGGGTGGGGGGTTGGGGGGGTAGGGTAAGGGTGGGGGGGTTAGTGTGTGTGTGTGTGTGTGTGTAGAGGGGGTAGTGCGTGAATAGGGGCCCCAAGCGAAGGCGGGGATGTGGGAGGTGTAGGGGGCGAGAGGGGAAAAAAGCCCCAATGGTGGAATGTGGGAGCCCCCGCCCCCGTCCCCGTCCCATTCAGGGGAGCGTCCGGAGCCGACCTTCATGACGGCAAGCAGTTGTTGCGTTCATTGCTGCCTTGCCTCGCCTTGCCTTGCCTCCGAGTTTGGAGGGACAAAACACACGCACACACACATACACACACGCGCGCGCGCGCACGCGCACAAACACACATACTCTTTCGACATACGCCCAAACACAATCTCCCAGACTCCCCGGCTTCCGAATCAACCCCCTCAACACCCCTCCCTCCCTCCCATCCTTCCCTCCCCTCTAACTCCAGTCACATCCCCTTCCCGCTCAACCCCTTTTTCCCTCCTTCCCTTCACTTCCTCGCCATTTCCCAACCCCAACCCCAGCCCCAACCCCCAACCCAGTTGCCCCCCCCCCTCACCGTGCACCATCGCGACCAGCCTCCCCGCCGGCTGCATGGCCACCCCCACCACCTTTCCCACGTTGGTTCTTAGAGTCTGCAAACACGCCGACCACACATCACCCGTGCTCAAAAGCAACAGGTGCTCAGTCTCAAGAGGGTCCTTCAGGACAGAGGAGGAGGCGGAGGCGGCGGAGGCGCCGCCAGGCAGCTCTGGAGTCGCCGGCAGCGGAGGCGTCACAGCCCCTGCCGCGGCCGCCTTTCCTGAGGAGGTGGCGGCGGCGGCGGCGGCGGCGGCGGCGGAGCCGCCGTTTCCGACACCTCCGCCAGCGCCTCCGCCGCCGTCAGCTGTCCCTCTGTTGTGAGCCCCAACGGGTGTGACAGTGATGGTGGTCACCTCTGGCTCGTAATACTCAAAGGGATCCGGACCCGCTGAGAACTGCACCACGTACGACAATGCAATACATTGCCGTACAATGTCGTACAATGCCGACGAGGGGGAAGCCAGGCAATCAATCGGTCCGCCAATGATAACGGCCATTATCATGCGATGTGGGGTGGGGAAAGGGCGGTGGATGGGAGGGCGGCATGGAGTAATGTTATAATGGTGGTGGGAAGTGGAGTTTCAGGGTTTTAGGGTTTTAGGAGCATCCTAAACCTTATCATCTAGTTTACTAGACTCTATAAACAATACAGAGATTGTCTCTATAATGTTAGGGTTTACCAACCACTTTTTTTACAATTATAATGTTTTAATTACAAAAAAAACACAATACCAGATTTACTAGAGTGAATATGCCGTGTCATCATATTATTCATAACGAATAAAGCGCTGAGGGTTTTTAAGGGTTGTAAGAAAAGGGGACACCTGCCACACCTCGGCACATGACACTCTCAAAACATGTCGTACAGTCTGTGTCCTTTCCTTTTCACTCTCGGCCCCCTTTTTTGGTCGTACTGCATATGCATATAAATATAAACCACCACCATCAACACCATCAACACTTCCCAACCCACCGCCAAAACCAAAACAACACGCTCACCTCGAGCGCCCGGCTGCGCAGTGCTGAATCCTCCGGCAGCGTTGCCGCAGATGATACAACCGCCAACGGAAACCAACATAACTGACTGTGGTACAGCAACAGCCACCGCCGAGCCTCCGCCAAAAGCATAAGCAGTGGCGAGTCCGTAGACCCGGGGTCAGCGGCGGGGATTGAGCATATTGGCAGTGACGCCAGCGCCAAAACTACCCACCTGAAGCAGCCAGCGGATGGGACAAGGGGAGGGAAAAAAAGAATGAAAACATGGAATGGAACAACAAAGATGAAAGAGATCCATGTTGCACTCGCAAGGCCGGTTCAAATTTTGAAAAAAAGATATTTGCTTGGTTTCGGGGCCGAGCAGAGATGTGCAGCTCGCTGTTGAGGTAACGACACAAACGAATTTGGGAATGGAAGACACAAAATCAGCAAGGCAGGCAGGCAGGCAGCCAAGATCGTCAACATTGGATCGTGTCGTAAACGTTCTTCGTTTCTAAGGAACCTCCACCCTCTAATAATGCCAACCTAGCGGCCCCGCCGGCGCCGGCGGTGTAGATGCTCGTCCAAAGATCCAGACGCTGCAACAACAGCTCCAGGGTGGCGATCCAGTCGGCGGCGGCCGCCGCCGCCGCCAGAGCCGCCGCCAACGCCACCGCGGCGGAGCTACTGTACGACGTACCACTCCGGCTGCGATTCTGCCAGCCGGAGGACCGGGCGGTTGTGGCAACAGAGGAGGGCGAGACGGGAGGAGGGGAGACGGGGCTACCGCCGCCGCCGCCCCCACCACCACCACCGCCGCCAGCGCCAGCCGCCGCCGCTGCCGCCTCGGCGGCGTTAGCCGCCATGGCTGCCAGGCCGACGTGCAGGAAAATGTGTCGGACGCTGTAGCCGTACGGCGGCCGGCGGCCGCGGTGGAGGCAGCCTAGCGCATCGTCGCGGCAGTGGCTCGCCAGGGCTCGATGACCCGCGGCGAGATCCACAATCACTGACCCTCCGAGGAGGACCCGGGGCTTGGGTTGCTGCGACGGCGGCGGACGTGTGGCGGCATTTGCGGTGTCTTACACAGCGCCTTGCCGTACTCGCGGCGGCGGCCGCAACGGGGCTCACATGGATTTGAAGGTCGCAAGGGTTTATGTGCTCTGAAATACGCTAGCAAGGCTTTTAAACATTTTAAATCGTACTTTTTTTATGTACGACGACCTGGATTGATGATCATTATGTACGACCATGTTACGAGCTAAATGGACGACTGAAAGGAGGGATATGGGTTGGTGGGGTTTGCAATGGTTGTGCAAACGCCCGCTGTACGACATGCGGTTAAAAGGCGTACCTGCAGCCACTCCGAAACCGCCGAGTGTACGAGCAACACCTCCTGGGCCACGTGGCCCGGGGGCCCGCGAACCCGTACAAGCGCTCCAAGGCCACGCGCCACCAGCTCCGGCAGCAGGCCCCTGGTCGCCACCGGTGGCGGCGCCAGCAGCGATGTCAGCGGCGCTGCCGAGGCCGCCGCTGCCCCACCCCTTCCCTCAACCACAGAGGATGTCGTACTGCCGTACCAACGACAATCACTACCACCAACCGTGGCGGCGATCTGCATCGCCGTCAAGGGCTCTCGCGCCGCGGCCAGTACGGCCAGTACGGCGGCGGCTTTGTTTCGTAGCTCCGTACTGTTAAGTAGGCGGATCCTGATACAGACAGACAGAAGGGGCTTCTCTTAGGGTCAGGCTTGGGGGCCCCTCAAACCAGGTGTCAAGCACAATTCCCCTGTTTAATCGTACGACAGCCATGTACTGCAGCCCATGCCGTACATACCTTACTGTTAGGTAACGCTCCAACAGCCCACCCAGGCTGGACGGAAACTGGTGCAAGATGGACTGCAGGGAGGGGCGGAGGGAGGGAGGGGGGGGGACGGGGGGGAGGTGACTGTGCAGTGCGGATTAAAGGCTGTATTCAATACTATACACACGCACGCGCGCGATAGATAGATAGGTAGATAGATAGATTAATAGATTAATAGATAGAGAAGCCCTAAAACCCTGCCCCTCATATAAACTTGTTGCTTTCATGCCCTGCTATACACACACACGCACGGATATACATACATACGTCCCCGCACGTATACATGCATAACCCATTGTCGTACAACCCCCCCAACCCCCAACCCCCCACCTGCTTCTTGGTCGATGCCAACCGACTCAGCGTCCGTACAAGTTCCTCCCCTGCCGTACCGCCGCCACCGCGGTCGCTGAACGAAACTATCGCCGCTGCCATGAGATCCGCCTCCGCCTCCGCTGCCGCCACGTCACGTTCCAATTCTAGACAACACAACGCAATTTTTAGGTACAGCAGCGACCCATGGGACCGTCCGACGAGCTTCGACGCTACCGACGCTCGGTGGCGGCGGCTGAGTGTGGAATCGATCGAAGCAATGGCCAGCCGTACATTGCGCATGAAGGGCCCTATGGGGCGCAGCGCCTCTGGCGTCAACTCCAGGGGCGACAGCCGGTCGGTTAGGCGCGGTACAATGTACGACAGAGACCTGCTCGTCACGATGAGCCGTACAAACGATGGCAGCTTGGGGAGGTGATCCTCAATGAGTTGAAGCACCTGAGGGGGAGAAGGGGAAATTGGGTTGGGGAAAAGAAAGAAAGGGGGTGAGAGAGGGAGAAAAAAGGGGGTGGCGGACGTGATTCGATCATGGCATCACGGGATGACACCGACACCGACACATTGTATTGGGGGAAACCCTCCACGGCCACACTCACGCTTCTCAACCTCATCCCAATGCCAGCGCCCCACCATCACCATCACTGCCGTACCTCTGACATCCCCTCCATCCCCCCCAAACCCCTCAGCCTCCAGAACCCCGCCCCGCACCAGCCCGATATCATCCCGACACCACCTCCACCTCCACCTCCACCTACCCCAGCCCCACACGGCACCCTACCTGGTTATCGAAAGGCGCTGATCCCCCCATCACCGCCCCGTCCGCCTGGTCCACTCCGTCAATGATCAACAGCGTCACCTGAAGAGAGAAGGGAGGAGAGGGGGGGGAAGGGGGGGGAGAGAGGGGGGAGAGGGGAGGAGAGGGGGGGAGAGGGGGGGGAAAGAGGGGGGGAGAGGGGGGGAGAGAGGGGAGAAACACATAAGGTGACAACGCACGGGGTGTGGGCGGGAGGTGAGGAGCGGGGGAGGGGCGGGGTGTGGGCGGTAGGGAGGAGCTTATGTGACAGGGCTGGTTCAGATAGGTTGGCAGGATGAGGTTGGGGGTGTGGATGGCGGGGTTGGGGCTTTGGCACCCAAAGCGCAAATAAAGCGGGAGAGGAGGAGGAGGAGGAGGAGGACGTTGCAGGAACTGGATGTCAGTACGACATAGGCCGATGAGAGGAGGGGTAGAACAAGGGTGAGGTACCCCGGCAAGTACCCCAGATTGGTCTAGGGCAGGGTACGACACTCTGCCGTACTTCCTTCTCGCCAGTATTGCCGCGGCGGCGGCGAGTCCTTGCTTACCTTGGGGGGTCCTTGCCACTTGGGCGGCGCTCGCACGGACTTGGCTCCCAGGCCTTGGAGACCCCGTCCGCCGCCACCAGCACCACCCGCTGCCGCCGCCGCCGCCGCGTCGTCCAACTCTTCATCGCAGCCGCCGCCGAGCGCCCCCAAATCCCCATTGTCCTGCCACACGCGGCCGCCGGTGCCGCCGGCAGAGGCCCCGTCGGCGCAGCCGCTGTCGTCCTCCGGTTGTTCGAGCCGCTACGGTCGTCAGGCGGACAGACAGACAGACAGACAGACAGGCAGACAGAGAGACAGACAGACAAACAGGCAGACAGAGAGACAGAGACAGACAAACAGGCAGGGGGTTAGGCAGGCAAACAAGTAGGCAGGCAGGCAAGTTGCAATTGCGGTTTCGAGAAAGGGCCGTCGGTACGGAAATATCTGCGTGATAGGTATTCAGGTGGGCAGATACGTAGGTAGGTAGGCAGTTGTGTAGGTAGATAGGTAGTTGGGTAGATGGGTAGGTAGGTGGGTGAGTGAGTGTGGGCGGTTCCAGAATGTTCTGGCTGTCAAGCGTTCAACAAGCTATGCACATACATTCCTATCGTACACGCCCATGCCGTACCTCTATATATACATTAGTACCATCACATCACTCATACGACGTTATTATTACATACAAACACACACACACACCCCACACAACACACACACACACACACACACGTTACCTGCAGCGGCTGTACGAGCAACGCTTCAAAAGCCGTTTCCAGCGCCGTTGCAGTGTTGTTGTACGACACCAGGTCCGCAAGAAGCCCGGCCGGCAGCTCGCCGTACTGCTGTAGCAGGCGGGGCCCTATGCCGGGCGCGTTCGCCAGCTGTAGCGCTAGCGACACGACTAAAGCCACGGGATCCAGCGTCCTGTGTGTGTATGTATGTATGTATACATGTGTGTATGTGTGCGTACGGGGTAAAATGTGGGGTGGGGGAGGAGAGGAGGGTATAGGAAAGCAATATACACAGTGTACGACATGCGGCGATGTCGTTCCCTTTCGATACTTATATACGTATGTACATATGTATGGGGAAAGAGGGGGTCGGCCCTTGCGTGTACGGTATCGTACATTGTCCTGTGTGGGCCGAAACCCTCTTTCCCCATCGCGCATTGCCTTGACCGACGTTCCCACACCAACCCACCCCTCCATACACGCACCCCCCACCTGACGTCTGATACGTTACAAAAGTGAGCAGCCAGCGGCACTCCCCGGGTTCTCAGGTGGTGCACCACGGCGGCGGCGGCCACGGTCTTGCCGCTGCACGCGGGGCCGTACAACGCCAGTGCCTGTACGACAGGACGAGCATGCCGGAGAATTACGGGACGAGGGAGGGATCTGATAAAAGACCAGAAGCTTCCCAGGGGAAACGCACCCGAGTACGGCTTTCGTGTCCGCACAAAACACATACACACACACGCACGCACGTGTTTCCCCCAATCCCTCAACCACGTACAAGAACCTACGTCACGTTACAATTACAGGTACGGCCAGCAGCCGCCTGCAGCTTCTCTTAGTCAGCTCCATTTGTCGGCCACAAACACAGTAAGGTACCCATTTCTCCCCCCCCATAACCCCCTGCTCCCCGCGATTCCCCCACCCCTACCTGCTCCCCTCCCCTACCTGCTCCCCCACCCGTACATTGGCCCCCCTCCTCACGTCACTCACCGAAAAGTGTTTGCTGCTCTCCGGCAGAGCCAACCAGCTGTCCACCTGGCTCATATCCCACAGCTCCTGAACCTGTACGGGCATACAAAAATGAGCGGGGAGAGGGGGGCGTTGGGTAAAAAAATTTATACATTGACGGAAAGGGACCAGGGGGGTGGGGGGGGACGCCAGGCCGGTCCAGGCCGAGGTCTCACGCCTTCCCGGGGACCTAAGAAAACCCCACCACCCACCCACCAAGCAACCCTACACACATTCGTACATACATACATGCGAACATTAACATTCTCCTTCCACCCCGATGATGTGACGTGTTCTGACCCACCACATCGACGTCACACAAGTATATGAGAAACCAACTGTCGCATGAACGCAACGACCACCCCCTTGTGACCACCTCCTAACCACTCAAGAACCCACCTCAACCACGCGACCCAGATTGAGATCGTGGTGCACATCTGCCACCAGGGGCTGTGAGCCCAGTCCAGTCCGGTGCAGTGCAGTGCAGTGCAGTCCAATCCAAAAAGGGCAAACGGGAGTGAGTTCCACGGGAAGGGGAAGGGAAGGGCTCAGAGGGGAGAGTGAGGGTGAAGGGAAACGATAAGGCCTCAACACTGCCGTTACCCGGACGCCTAGCACATGTAGGATCTTGAATTGCTACAGCAGATGTATTATCCGAAGAAAGGGAAGGAGGCACGAGATCTAGTAGCCTAGATAGTGTCAGATAGTTAGATAGATGTGCAATACCCGCCTCGACGTGCAGTTAGGTCCAAAGTCCCGCCGTGGAATGGGGACAACGTTCTCTTATGCCATGGCCATGGCCTGGCATGTTGGTGAAGTGCTCGAAGGTGTTGGCAAGTGAAGGGACAGGTAGGATGTCCGCGGGAAGCGTTCACACCAGCTCGTAAGGACATACATACATACATACATACATTCATACACACAGCCACCCTCGCCAGCTCCTGCCCGCGGGTCAATCCATTGAAACGCAGCTATTTCGACCAACACCCCCCTTTCTTTCTCTCTCTCTCTGTCTCTCTCTCCTTCCCCATCTCTCCCCTCTCTCTCCCCCTTCCCCCTTTCTCTCCCCCTTCCCCCTTTCCCTCCCCCTTTCTCTCTGTCCCCCCTTCCACCCCCTTTCTCCCTCTCTCTCACACACACGCACACACAGAGACACACATATCCCTACCTTCAGCATCAACGCCAAACGCAAGGTGGCGTTCACGGTGTCCAGACCTCCCTGCCCAGCGGCAGTGCGAGCAGCCGCCAGCAGCGAATCGCGATCCGCCTTATACTTGCAGCGCGACTGCCGTACATCGATCTGCGGAAATGTGCCGAAGGCACGCGAGGGAGGGAGACACGTGTGCCGGTTTTGTTTGGGACGGGTGTACGACGCGTCGGTTGAGCAGGATATATAGAGTGTAGCTCACTGGCCCGTACTCGCCGTACTTACTTTGCTGAACAGTCGGGCTCGCTCCTCCGGCGTCATCGCACGAGGAGTCAGCGCCGTAACGCCCATCGGCGGCGGCGCCCCGGCCGCCGACGCCACCGCTGCTGCCGTACCGCTCCCGCAGCCGCTGCCGTCACCGGCAGCTCCCCCTGGCGCCGACGAGCTCGGCCTGGACCCTGTTCCCTTAGCAGCATCCAAAGGCCCCCCCGTCGCCTCATGAGCTCCTGCTACTGCCGCCCCTGCTGCTTCAGCTCCTGTTGCTGCTGGCGCTGCGGCTGCTGTTGCTACTGCCCCCCCCGCCGGGGCAGTAGCGCCCACCCATGCTTCGTACAAACACCACGTGCGCCGTAGCGCCACGCCAGCCTCATCCAGGCAGAGCAGTACGCCGCTCGAGTTCTGTGTACGGCAAAACACGTTTACACATACACACACACGCACGCACGCTCTTGAGTACAATCTCCACCGCCTCCACCACGTCTATTCGACAAACACACACAAACACACACACAAACACACGCACATACACACGCACGTACGACGCATACTGGCGGCTATCTGCGGTATGACTCCAGGGGGGACCTTCGGAGGCCGGGGGGCGCCTAGCCGGAAGCGTAATAAAAAGTACGAGCCTAGCTGCATTTCACGCATATGGATTTAGACCTCGCCTGGATTTCCCCCTTTTCTACAGCTTTTATACTCCGTTTTGCCCGACCCTGCTTAATGCCAATCTAGTTAGCCAGGAGTCGACCCAGGGATGACGTCCCAGAGCGCTTCGGCGGAGATGGCACACACCAACATATCGATTCAACCCAGGAGATAAATTTATCCGTTTCTCTTTTGTTCTTTTGCTTGCATCGGCGCCAAACACACACACACACATACGTACGTACATACGTACATACGTACATACATACATACATACATACATACATACATACATACATACATACATACATACATACATACATACGCGCATAATCGTAAACCCCACGCACCCGGAGCGCCGCCTCCAGCGCCGCCATATCCGGCGGTTTAGGTACGGCAGTAAAGGTCTGCTGCCGTATGGCAAACACATCTAGCCAGACGTACACCTCCCGGGGGTCTCTCCCCCGGAAGTGATGAGCCAACATATCCGCTGCCTCCCGCAGCGGCCGGCTCCAAGCGTGACTGACGAAATAGTACGGCGTTGTCGTACCGTACGGGAGTACGTGAGGCGCCATTTCCGGCAGGGACGCGTAAGGCAAGTTCGTTTCGGAGGTTGCGGGCTGTACGAGATTGAGCGCGACGCTCCAAGTTGGCATGTTGGGATCGCCCCGGGGTAGCTGCGTGGCGACAAAATCCAGCAGGTACGACAAACGTACGGCACCCGTTGTGTATGCTGGAGATGTAACGCCTGGGGGAGGCGCGATGATCCTGCGGTCCAGGGTGTCGTACGGAGTGAGGAAGGCGCGCAGTGCGATTTGGGCAAGGAAGTCATCAATCATGCAAGGCCTCAGACGCAAGGCCTCTCGGTTAATGTCACTTCGCCCCCCTAGGGGGGGGGGCACAACGCATCGCGACCTACACAGCGGTCTGCAGCTGTTCTGCATGTTTCAATGTTACGGCCCCATGGCCGGGATGCTTGCCGTACGCGGTGTACGGCTGGTATGTTAAGAAGGGCCTGTACTCACACCACCTACATCAAGCACAATACTATGCCAACAGGGAAACCCCGCTGCGTGTTTCGCTGGTGCTGGCGGTGCTGGTGGTGCTGGTGTTGGTGTTAGGTGTTGGTGGCGCTGATGTTGGTGTTGGTGTTGGTTTTGGTGGAGCATGGCGGGTGTTGCGTTTAGCTCGATTGACTTGACGGTCTGTTAGATGGGTGAGGTGGGTCAGCCCCTGGTGGCTGAGAGGGAGAGGTTTCCCGGAGGAAAGATCCCAGCTGGGGGCTCCTTCTTCCCCCCCCCGGGGGGCCGGCAATCGCACCATGCAGACTTCTCCTTTGCTGTTTCCCGCACAGTACTTCTAGGCGTGTCGTACCTTCCAGGGCTCTGCTCGTCCTCGTTAGTCCAACTGACGTACAAGTGCCAGAACGCCTCATCGTCCTCCTCCTGTTTGGCAATTGGGTGTCAGGGTTGCGGACCTCGTGTTCGTCATCCTCCTTGAAACCCAACAGTAAACAATAGTTAGTTGGCAAGCGCACGTGTCCGGGAACATTTGCGTAAAATGCTTACGTGCGCGAGTCGGAGTGTTCGTGCGTATGCATGTATGTATCTATGCGTATGTATGTGTGTATGTGATTTAAAACCGCAAAGGCGCGAGATGTAGTTTGGGATGGACATGTGTATGGTGGCGGAGGAGGAGGAGGAGGAGGACGAGTGGTGGGAGGGAGGTTGTGGAAGAGGAAAGCAAGGTCCACAATACAATGCCATACCCAGCCCTTCGCCAACCATGTGCTTTGACTTAAGCATGAGTCAGTGCCACCAAGCTTAAGGGGATGCGACGCTGAAAAGGTAACGGTTGGAAGAAGCGGTGGTGGACAAGGTTTTGCACGGCTCCAACACCATCGGAGAGAGACTTTGTTAACTGCGACTCAACATGTTCGTCCAGCACGTAAGGAGGCATAGTGGCCTTGTTTGCGTATGTTTATATTGGGGGGAATTCTCAGGCTTTTGGACGAGACCTCAATGCCACGCACCTGTGCCACGGGCTGTGCAATGTCACTTGGCACCCGCACCGCCTTGCTTGCACCACAACCGCCTCCTTTACCCATTGCTCGCGTTGATTACAGAAAACGTTAGATTCTTGTTTAAAGGGACAAAGCCGAGTTAAGCCCACAAGGTAATTTCTTGCTTCATTGAATGGACTAAAGCCTAAACATCTTAAACGAGTCAGGTAAAAGCAATTGTAAATTGTTAATAAGGCCAGTTATTGACAAGGTACGCACTCTCTTCGATAAGAGACAGAGATATGAATTTCAAGAATGTGTCTATAAGTCAAAGATATAGCATTGCGTGTAACCAATTATAAGCCTGCTATACAAATAGGCATATGCCGGTAGTGCAACCGTTTTCGCACCTTTGATGGCTTTGAACCCCGTCGAAACCAAAACATGACAGACCTAGGATTTTCACCACATAGGCTTAAAAAGTAACTTACAATCTTTGGTACGCAATTCGTCGCAGTCTTGTTCTAGCACTAACAGCTTGCTCTTACAACAGCCGTAGGAGGCCGGTCTTCGATGGTGTAATGCCATACAACACGCTATTATCATTTTGGTCTCATGTTATGCAGATAAAAAGCGGTGTGTCTCGCCGATGGCCATACGTTGTGGCAAGGTTCGCAGAGGCGGACCCAAGGGGCGCTCTGCGCCTGGCGACTCCAGCCGCCAGGATGCAGTGCCATGTTTTTTCCCATTCGCGTCAGACACCGTGCCAGCTGTTGAGGCAAAATGAGTCTGTGAAGCAAAATTCATGCTGAAATCTCACAGCACTCAGATTTGTTTCGGCGTAACAAGCTGCTGCCAACGAACAGCTACCTTAAATCCGCTTATTTAGTCCTTCCAACAGAGAATACAGGGCAGCATCGGGTGTATAATATATCTTACTTGGTGGGAGGCTGGAGGTTTGCAACAACGAATTTCTGCGGAGCGAACGAGTGCGCGAGGGTGCATAAAGTACAGAGGGCTACAGGCTCCTCGTGCAGCAGAACGCTCCGACTGGAAATATAAGGAAACTCTTGCGCGCGTGGTATCATTGTCTATATGTACATTACATATGCAAAAAAACCGTCTCCAAAGACAGCGCAGCCCGGCACTGCATTGTGTTCATCTGGAGATCGGCCGATCTGTGAAACGCAGCTGACGCACTAAAGCCGCCGCAACTGCCCAAAGCAGGGAAGCCTATGCAGGCCTATCACCAGTACCTAAGCGAGGATTGTGTTGGTATACAAATGTTGGCAGTCAGTTCTCTATCCCGTAAAAAGAGAGATTTCGTAGGGTGTACCTGCTGTTGGGGGAGTCGTATGGAGAACGGGAACGGAGCAGGGGAGGATGTCCCGTAAACGATTTGCACCGGTCATTTTTCATGAGCGCGATGCGTTCATGCGCGGTATGTTGCGGAGTTTTTCAGGGTTTCATATTGCCGCTGCGAACGATTGAGGCGGCGCGCGAGCGTCCGTTTTTCCGCCTGGCAGGTAGATGTCGGTAGATAAAAGCACGCGGTCGATTGGAGCTCAAAAGAACCTCAAAAGGGTTCGCAGCTCGAAGGAATGCTGATGGAAGAGGTGGCATGCATATATCCAGGAATCCGTAACTGGTATCATGCGGACGGCCAAAGGCCAGCTTAACATATCTATACAGAGTTTGGCACTATCGGAAGGCATAACCATTACCGGCTGAAGTCTTATAAAAAGTCGTTTTCTATGATCAACATGCATAAAAGTCTTTGGTGCAACCACCTGTTTTGCACGGTTTTTGGCGGCTGAGCGGCCAACAGGAAGTCGTACTGGAACCCTTCTGGATTGTAAACGTCGACGAGCTCCAGATAGCTTTGTTTTAAAGTTAACTGAGCACCAGTTTCATTTATTCGCTGTTGCTTTCCACCGGTACGCAGCTTACGCAGAGTTATTGCAGTACCAACGGTGAGACGTGTATAGGGTTTTCTGGCCGCTCATTGACGCGCTGGCCTTGTCAAGGTATAAGGACGCTTACAGCACATACCGATAAGGGTGATGCGAAGAATGATTGGCGATGTTCTGATAACATCTTTGTTTTGACAGTACAGCTCGCTGTAGACAAGCTGACAAGATACCAGTAATTTTTCATAGTTGAAATGAGGTGAAACTCTTGTGATATGCGAGTCCACAAGCCTGGAGTGGAGGCCGTCCGCTATGGAACAGGCGGATGAAGAGAGATTGGTGAGAGCTTTGTTCTACGATAATAAGGAAAATGATTCGATTTGGGGATTGATTGCGTGGGTCCTCCGAGCGATGGCCCGTCCGTCTTTATCAGCTGGCATGGTGACAATTGCAAGCGGCACTGCGTGGTATACTAATGCGCTTAGGCCGCTAGTTTATCATTGAAGTATCTGTTTCCTTCAAACGCCTCGCCGGTACACTTTCTCACTTAGTCCGCGGTTCCGCTGAACGGCAACCCGGACGACTGACATGGACAACCCCTTGAATCCCCCCGAACAACTTTCCATAGCTGGAGGACGCCATAGCAGCTGTTGAACTCCTCTTAGAGGAAGTTGGCTGTTTGGACGGGAGTTCAAGTTGCGTCGAGGATGCAATTCTTCCGCAACAATTGGCATCCTGCCAGGCAAGTCAAAGTTTCAAGTTCGGGGGAGAGCCCGAGTACTTGCATCTGAAACGTGAACTTAAAATTCTCCAGGCAAATCTGGATTTCGTAGTCTTGTTGAACTGTCCGTACTGTCCGTACAATGTACGGCAAATTAAGGGTGCAATCCCCAGCCTCCATCAGGAATCCGCAACCCTATAGCCTCCCCAGCCTCCGAGTCAGGAACTCCAACAGGGTGCAGGTTTGCTCCTAAGCACTCTTAAGTGTGCCCTGGCAAAAAAGTCGCACCTCACGCAGAAATGCACCAAGAAGAGCTTCCATACCCACCAGCACAGTATTCGTCGGCCCAAATCAGACGTCGTGGATATTGCCAGCAGGCTCATACGGACCGGAAATCCTGGGAGCACGGGGTATGTGCCTGTGGCGGTGGCGGCGGCGGCGGCGGCGGCGGCGCCAACATCCACGGTAGCACCTGCAGCGGCGGTGGCGGCTGCAGCCATGGCGACACGCAACAGCAGCTCCACGCACCCCACCAACATCCGCACCAATATCAAGGCCAACACCAGCACCACCCACGGAAGTCGCTTCATACCTTACTGCTGCCGAACCACCAGCAGCAGCAGCAGCAGCAGCAGCAGCCAGCACCGCAGGACAACGAGCGGCTTGGAAACCACCTCAACCGCCCCAACAGCTACCTCAACTACCTCAACCAACACCACCACACCCATCCGCACAGTGCCCCATCCCGCGGTGACGGCGCCAAGCAGGGCGATCACGCCAGCGCCGCCGGAGGCTTTGCTGACGGCGACAGAATTGCACGGCAAACAAGCGAAGCCGGCGCTAACGCCACAGCCGCAGCCGCCGTACCACGGCGACCCGTGAACGCCAGCGCCCCGCAACATGACCACCATCCCCCGACCACAAAACTGCAGCCACGAAACTCTCACAACCCTATCCCCCCCCAACAGTGGCAGCAGCAACAACAAAGACAACAGGAAGGGCCGCAATCCGAAAACCCGGGGAAGCAGCCAGAGGCGACGGCAGGCACCGCCACTGCAGCAGCAGCAGCAGCAGCAGCAGCAGGGGGAGCTGCCGGTCAAACTCCGCCACGTTTAAGTCGAGCGGGCGCGATCCGGCGGCGCAGTACGATGTTCCTTGTCAGTCCAGAGCAGGACGAATTGCTGGCCAGGGCGGTGGAGAAGGCGCGCAGGATGTCCGACACGGTGGGAGCAAACCGTGGCACGGACATGGTGTTGAGCCTGCTGGGCAGCGCCAGGCGGGCCAGCGGCCGAAGCAGCCTGCAGGTGCGTGGTGTGTGGTTTGTGATGTGTGTTCGGTCAGGGCTACGGCTTGGTTTCGGAATCCTGTGTTGGGGTGCTTGGTTTCGGAGGCTGTGTGGGAGGGGGCGTGTTGGGGCTGCAGGCGGGGGGGAATTCAGATGCCAGTAGGGAAATGATCGGTACGTTGACCCGGGGGGATGCAGGCGTACGGCAGCAGCGTCTGCGGCGGCGCGGTTGGTGGTTGCGGCAACGGCAGCGCCGCCGTTTGGTTTGAAAGCCGTTTTGGCAGATTGCTAAGGCAAAACTGGAGTTAAAAAAGCTTCAGCTGAATCCGTTACGATCAATTCCTCCATTTGCATATTATTATTATTATTATTATTATTATTATTATTATTATTATTATTATTATTATTATTATTATTATATTGTTATTATTATTATTATTATTATTATTATTATTATTATTATTATTATTATTATTATTATTATTGGGCCTCAATTGTATGTCGGTTGGCGTCGGACCAAACGTGCAATTGTAATTGAGATGCTTGGAATTCGCCCAACTTTGTGGCGATAGGCACCAAAGAGGCCTTACATTGGCGAACGTTTTCATGTTTTTGTTTGTTAAACGTGTTTGCCCAACGAAATGGGGGTTGACATTCCCAAACATCCAACTTTTTCGTAAGGTGTGATGTTTTGTTCCATGCATTCGCTCATACGGCGATGTGGTGGCGGCGGCGGCGGCGGTGGCGGCCCAGGAGGAGAGGTTGTGTACGAATAATGGCGGCGGCGCCAGCGATCGGGGGGCTGAGGACGGTACGACAGCATCCCTTCCCGGAGGACCTGCCCTAATGTCGAATCCCGAACTGCTGAACGACCTGGCCGACGAAACGCTTGCAAACAGACATGGCGATTACCAGGTACGACGGAAACACCTGTACTTCGACAGTACACGTCAGCAGATACGAGTCAGCGAATAACTGCCGATATATACATGATGCGTGCTAGGATGAGGGCCTGCTGTACAGCAAGTACGATACTTAGCCTGTCCGAACTGCACGTGTCTGGTTCCCCTTGCTGTCGCTCCATCGCGCCTCCTAAGCCGCCCAAAACCGGTACCGATTATCGTGCAATGCTGTACACTATTGTTCAGTTCCACAACTGGTGTACATTGCGATCATTTCGCATTCTCATGTTATAAATGCAGGTGCAGTCGGGCACACGTAACGGTGTCGTGGCCGTGCGACGGCCCTCAGCCACGTCAGCGATGGCGGCGGCAGTAGCGGGGAGCCCGGCCTCGCGGCATCCGGAGGTTCGCGGCAGTAGCTCCCTCCTCCATATCGGTGGCGGCGGTGGCGGCGGCGGCGGCACGGAAAAACTGCTCCTGCCTGATGTTGGCGGCGGCGGCGGCGGCGGGCGGCTGGGCACTGAGCAGGGACTCATGCTTTGGTGAGAGGGCAGTCGCAGGCCGGAGACCTCCTGGACGCGTATGCGGCTTTTTATTCGGACTTCTCGTTGAATAGTGAATGGGAGCAGACCACGTGTGGGTGTGATAGGGTGGACGTGGTGTAGACCGCCGACACCCTAGTTGCGAAAATGTTTGAAAATTTAAAGATAAAAATCTGAAGATGAAACCGTTTTCGGGTGGTCTGAAGGACGCGATCTGCGCAAAATAAATATTGCATATAAAAGCAAAAATTGTTACCTTTTCCTAGATCTGCAAACTCGTACTAGGTTGTCCTGCCGCCAACGGGAATATGTGTAAGAGGCCACAAGTGTACGACACGCCGTACGATTTTATGGATGCAGGGCTGGTAACAAATCGCGTGTGGAGCGAGCACGCTTGGCTGTACGGCTGCTGCAAGCCACAGACCTGGGACGGTCGAAAGAAGAGAAGCAGATTGACCCATACGCGGTGGTGTCGTGCGAGGGCAAGTCATACACATCCAAAGCGGTTATGAAGGTACGTACGACATGTACGGAGGAAGCAAGTACGGCAATGTTGAGCTTCACACGGATCTTCTCTCACATGCACACATACATACATACATATTTGCAAACCCTCGAGGCATGAAAACATATGTCAGAACTTAATGGAATTCTTAGACATCTGACAATTAGTTTTGGCATATGCCGAGTTGTCACTCGGGCGGTGGTATTGATAACTTGGACATTTGGTCACATGGCATTCTTTGGTTCCATAGTTCCGAGCACGCGACCCATCGTTAATTCTTTCCCGCCCTTTCCATCGCCGTCCCGGCCCCGCACCGCACCACCCGCCCCGTGATGTGTGTCCGTGGGGGGGGGGGAAACTGGGGACGGGTTAATTGGTGTGTATGTGTGTGTGCGTGTCTATGTCGTGGCGATTATGACAACAGAGCAAGGATCCGTTTTGGGACGAGTTCTTCGTATTTGACGTACCTCAGCCGGCGTTTGCGGAGCTGAAAGTCAAGGTGTACGACCATTTGCGCTGCTGGCGGCCAGGTACGGCATATATTATTTCATTGCAGTTGGCGGTTAGAGAGCATCATCAACACACATTATGAAGCCCAGCGTGGTGCGTCTCCGCAGGATCCCTCCACAACACGGCCCCGACCATGTTCTGGACTTGGGGTTTAAAAGCACACACACGCACACACGCACACACGCACGCGCATAGGTGACATTTTTTCAATTGTGTGGTGGAAAGGATGGCGTGTCAGGATGGCCGTTCAGGACGACTCAGGACAGATGCCGGGGCTTCAGGTGGGGCATGTAGTGGTGCACCAGTACGGCACACGCCTTCCCCAAATGCGGTCTTGGAATGAATCGTGCTCGTGCTCGTACTCGTGCTCGTGCTCGTGCTCGTGCTCGTACTCGTGCTCGTACTCGTGCTCGTGCTCGTGCTCGGCAGCACTGTAAAATATTGAATAAACTTGGTTGTCTAGCAAACAAACAAAATTTTACGTTTACAATTAGGCGCCGTCTGGGGAAGAGCCTGGTGAAGTCATGGGGAGGGTTACGAAAACCCCTACCCAGCTCTGCCGTACAGCGAGGTTTCGGAGCCCATAACTAAACTTGCTGTAAAATTTCAAAAGCATAATTGCAATCCCCCAATGAGGCTCTACACCGATACAAGATGCGGATTCTTGCTCTCCCTCTTTTCCCCTTTCCAAGATCCGGTGCAATACCCCGCCCTCCCCCAAGTCGCTTCCGTGGTGCGACACTGGCTGCGTTTGTGTCTCCCTTTCGTTACACGTTCAGATTTCTCGCGCATTGTTTTATGCTCCAACGTTTCTCCCTGCCCTAGCCACCTGCCTCTTTTAATGACCCGAAAAAAACACATGTATACACACGCACATGCACACACACGCGGTGATGTATTTATGTGTTTATGTATGTATGTGCGTGTGCGTGTCACGCAGTCTTCATGGGACAGGTCCGAGTGCCAGTGAAGAGCATTGCTGACTCGCCTGCGCGTTACTCTCAGCCCGTGTGGCACCAGATGCGCTCACGCGCTGGCAAACTCAAGGGTCAGGTGCAGCTGCAGCTGTTCTACACAGCGGTGAGGCTCTTCGGTTAGGGTGTTGTTGTGGGGTGTGGGGGCCGGGGTGGGGGAGGGGGAGGGATGATGAGGCGAGGCGACGGGGATGGGGGAAGGGGTGGGTGGGAGGGAGCGGACTTACATGAGCGTGGTGATGGTGGTGGGTTGTGGTGGTGATGGCGCAGTCAGTCAGGAAGAGGATAAAACTGTGTCCCGTACCGACGTGTATGTGTGTGTATGCATCCAAAGCGCCATCAAACCAACGGCGGGCAGCGTGCCGCGGGGAATCCGGGCTGCCGTGCCGGGAGTTGCGATAAGGCGAGGGGCGATGAGGCTGTGGGGCAGTGTTGTTTCAAAAACGGATTCAGGACTGTTGTTGTGTTTTCCCTCCTACTACTCCCTCTCCCTCTCCTGCGCCCTCAGGAGTGGGTCCATAGGGCCCTCAACGTGCTGGCGTGCACCTGGAATGTGGGCAATGCGGAGCCACCGCAGGACCTAAGCACCTGGCTCCAGGCAGGGTGGAGGGGGAGGGGTGGGGGGGAGGTGGGGGGCTCCAGAAGGGGGGAATCTGCACGGGTTTGTGCATCTGCACGGGGGGCGGGGGGGAGGGGGTGATGGAAAGTCCCGTGTCGGGTTTTGTGCAGATAATAGGTCGTGTGCGGACACGCGCCCAGCGGCTACTCGGCAACCGGCAGCCTCCCCCCCCCCCCGCGACTCTGTCCATCAGGACCGCCTGCCGCCACCACCACCGCCGACCAGTGCCATTACCAACACAACCACCACCACCAGTGCAGAAGTGCCGAAGTGCCGCATTTCCGTCGAAAAGACCGCACCCTGCCGGCCGCAAGCTCGACTTGCTTACCAACGCCTGCACCTTTGTGCCGTACTGTGCTTTCGTTGTCGTACCTTGTGTACGTCACAGGGCGTCCAGGCGTTGCAGCACGACCTTGTGGCGATTGGGGTGCAGGTGGGTGGGTGGGTGTGTATGTGTGTTGCATGTCATGGTGTTGGTGTGTGTCGTTTGTATGTCTGTCATATAAATGTGTGTTTTATCATTCCTGTCCTGACCGGGGGTTCTGAAACTGGCAGTGAGCAGCTGACCCTGCCCTAACGGAAAGACCGCGCAACTGCTTAACTGCCATCCTAACTAACTAACCGTCGTACAGGAGTGTCTTTACAAGGTTGGCGCGGGAGCTATGGACCAGGGGAACCAGGGGCCAGGGGAGGAGTACGGCATGGCGGGCGGTTCCAACGAAGAGGTGCGGAATGTCGCATCATTTTTATAATATCAGTCTCGTTTCGATTGAGTGACAACGACCTTCGACCTGAGCAAACGCCAACAATTGCCAACCACAGGGGACCAATGTGTACGATGCGTATGCCAGCGGAATGTACGGCAGCCATGATCATCATGACAGCAGTATTCACGCAAACAGGGGTCAAGCTAACGGTCAAGTCAACGGCCATGCTCAGGGCCTCAACGGCCACCTCAACGGTCAAGTTAACGGCCTTACAAACGGCAACGCTAACCATAGCAGGGGCAGTAACGCAGATGCAACCAAAGCGGAAAGCGGACTAATTTTCATGGATTCTGGGGTGAGATTGATTGATGTGCCAATTTTCACGTTTCATTTGTATGTTTCTGTACTTTTGTTGCTTATTTCCCGTGCTTACCGTTGCTTACCATGCCGCCTTCCAGTACATACAATGGTCCCGTACTCGCTGCCGCTTTGCATGCGTATTTACCTAGTTCTTGTCAAAGCTGCTGTTGTACCGCATTTTCGAGTACAGTCCTAACGTTGCGTGTCATTCATACGATAGCTAGTGCCCCGAGTTGTTGTATTGCGTTTATGAGTGCGATACTGGACAAACGTATGTATTAGCGTCGATGTTGCCGTACATGATCGTACGACATCAAAAAGGGGCTGCATTCGTAGGTCCACGGCAGCATCGGCACCGGCAATGCCACAAGCGGTCAGCCGCCCGAGTCTGGCAACCCATCCGCAGCCGCTGCCGCCGCTGGCATGCCCCACGGCGGCGGCGGCGGCGGCGGCGGCCCTCGCCCACGGCTGTCAGTCCTTTTGCCTCCGTCCGCCGCCGGTGGCGGCGGTAGCAGCAACGGTGCGTCGCCCTCCGGCACCGCTGCCGCCGCCGCTAATGATACGGACCCCGACGGCGTGACGAGCACGCCACGCAGCGGCATGGCGACACGAGAACCGAGTACGACACTTGCTCCGGCGTTGCCGTCAGGCCGTGTGTCAAATCGTGGGTTGCCAACGCGGGCGAGGACGCGTAGCGCGATGTCTGTCGTACCGCCCCAGCTGTCGGCGTTGCAGCCCGGCGGCAGTTCGTCTGTAGCAGGTGCGGGTAGTGCTCGGGATGTGTGTGGCAAGAGGGCCGCCAGGTCTTGGGCTGGAGCAACGCTGTGTGATCTGGGGACCTGCGCTTTGGACGAGCCATCAGGCGTACAAAGCCGTCAAGTTGGTTTGTTGGTTGATAGCTTCTGGTAAAGTGGTTGGACGCTTGGCTTTACTGCAATTCCATGCTGCTATGCTTTTTATTGTGAAACTTGTGCGGGGGTAGTACGACCTTGCCGCTTTGTATGCTGTCGTAGTACTGTTTTATGACAACTGTACTGTGTATTGTACTGTACTGTGTATTGTACTGTACTGTATATTGTACTGTATTGTACTGTGTTGCATTGTAGGGGCAGCCGATGGCGGCGGCGGCGGCAGCAGCGGCGGCCCGCCTCTGTCCCGCATTCCCACCAGCATCGCGGTGTCGCGACGCCGCCACAGCACATTGGAGCCGCCCACGAACCGCCTGGTACGGCCTTGAAGGTTTTAGAGGACTTTAGTGGGTTTTAGGTTTTAGCTGGATACTTCCTAATTGGCCGAGTCGTCAACATGAACGGCCGTGTACCTGGGAGGCCCGGAAGGACCGCAGCACCACCTCCTCGACGGGGCAGGCAGGGAATTCCGGCCTTTATGGGTCTGTGCACTGTAATTTATCATCATCATCATCATCATCATCATCATCATCATCATCATCATCATCATCATCATCATCATCATCATCATCATCATCATCATCATCATCATCATCATCATCATCATCATCATCATCATCATCATCATCATCATCATCATCATCATTATCATCATCATCATTGTTATTGTTATTGTTATTGTTGTTATTATTATTAATATTAATATTATTATTATTGTTGTTATTATTGTTATTGTTGTTGTTTTAAGTCCCTCCCCTTTAGGTTTTCCTACACGTTTTTCCTGAATTTTGTTCGCACGTGGGGGGTTACTGAAGTGCTTACTGGCCCGGTGCACTTCGGGCTCTCCTTCTGTCCGTAGCACATCAGGTCTTGCTTCGCGTCCCCCCTCCCCTGGACTTCCCTATACACAAAACCAACGGCTAGTGGGGGGGAGGCCATCACACCCTATCCACACCAAAAACCTGCACGAGTTTTGTCCTGACGACCTCTCTCACCCGACTTTTCCCCGTGTTTTCGCCCACACCACACAACCAATTTTCCACCAAAAATCACATGCATATACACACATACATACACACACATATCACAGGCCGGCTGGCCGCCTCATGTGGCCACCGCCATCGCCGCCGGTGCCAACACGGCTGATGGGTCCTTCAGCTCGAGCCACGCAGCCGCGGCCCTCAGCGCCAACAGCATAGGGATGTTTTCAAGGCCCAGCTTGAGCAACGCCCCTGCCGGCGCGGGCGGCGGGGCCCCCGGAGGCGGTGCCGGTGGCGGCGGCGGCAACCTGCGCAGCAACGCACCTCAGGGCAAGGTCACACAGCAAACGTACAAGAGCAAGGGTGTTCTGACGGATATGGCCAAAGTGGGCGGCGAGTTTCGGGACCTGTGGGAAGAGCGGCTCAAGGTGAGAGGCTGCGATGGCGCTGGTGAGCAGATTGTTAGATATAATATTTATATGCTTTGGGGGTGCTTTGTGTGGCGCCAGATGACCAGCAATTTAGTTTGTGTTGGTTGTTTGCGCACTAGCGTTAGGTTTCTCTTTCATAGCCGTCTAAGTATCTCTATTGCCATGATTGATGAAAATTATCATTTATTGACCATCATAAACTAACCGAGGTGCGAAACCTTTTTCATACCGTAAACCTAACTCGTCTCTTGGCGGTTTGATCCAAAGTTCCCAAGCAAAGATTTTACATTTTTATATATTTAATTCATAATAGATGTACTCTCTCTTAACTTTGGGATAACGTGAAAGGTAACAGATGATGGTCGATTGATTACACTTGGCTTAAACCGTTTGCAGGAGGCGGTTGGTCCTGGATACTTCCTGGTCGCCGCGGCCCACATGGGACAGATCCGATTGCTGCTCTTTGCGCGTAACGACGTGTACGCCGCGATCTCGGACGTGCGGACGTCGAAGCAAGCCACCGGGGTGGCGGGTGTGGCCACGAACAAGGTAAGGGCTGTAATGCAGTACAACGCCGTACAACGCAGCATGGAATATTATGCTTTTATGCGCATCTACGTGTGAGTCTCACTTGTATGCGTCACATCGCATGTTTTGCGGTGGAGTTACTGGTAGGGCGGAGGATATTTCTTATCAAGCAATTTTTGTAGTCGGGGACTAAAATTCTTGCGAATCGGACCTGGCGGCGTAATTGCTGGTATGTAAGTATATATGTATGTAAGTTTCATATGTACGAAGTACAGTTGCCGTCCAGTTTGACCGTCAAGAGTTGAATTTGTTGCAATAATTAACGCTTTCGTTTGATGGTTGTTACATGTATTATATAGGTCTAACACGCTTCGGCAATATTCCATCCCCTATCTTGCTGCGATTGGCACCACTAGAAAGAGGGCTGTCCCATAGAATGAGGTAACGTCGTTTCAAATGACCCTCGGTATCCTCGATAACCCATAATCTCGCAATTGTTTGCAAAGATATCAATAATAATATCGTTCCTCTCGGGAACTGCTTTGTCGTCAAGAAAGTAACACGACAGCGGAGAGTCGTCTTCATCCCGACAGCACCTGAATGTCTTTCTGTGTGTCTGTATGTTTAACGATGTATGTCTGTATGTTTCCTTTGCTGTCTGTACCTCATCCCCCCCGCCATAGGGGGGAGTGGGCATCAGCTTGAGAGTTTGGGAGACGACTATTGCTTTCGTGAACAGCCACCTGGCGGCCCATCAAGATCGTACACGGTACGGCATTGCGGTAATGTCTGTCCCGTACACCCACACACATCCCCGGTCATATGGAAGACCTTTGCGTGCCGTGCGAGTGTGTGTCTGTGTGTATTTATGTGTGTTTGTGTTTCGAATGTGTTTGGGAGTGGGGGCCAGGGGGGGAACGCTGTGGAGGCATGTACGGTCCACTCGTATGTATTTATGTATTAAGCACTATCGTCCTAGCTAAACTCCATATCCGGGGGCAGATCTCGTCAATTTGCCAAAAGAGAAAACATGTTAGCAAGAGGGATACGAAACTGCTTTAATATCTGACCGACCCAAGAAGAAATCTTTTTGCTGTCTACACGCACAATATATTTTATTGCACATGTGTTTGCACGTGTAAAAAAAACGAGGAGCATCTGGCTTCGGTCTGCTTTTATGTTTTGCAGTGCGCGCAACAACAATTACCGAGACATTATTCGGGGCCTCAAGCTCGACTGGCAAGGTTCCAATATGGACGTGCTGACCGCCTTTCACCACGTGATTTGGGTCGGTGACCTCAACTACCGGTAAATGCAGTACAACTGTGCGACTGTACGACTGTACTAAATTGTAGGAAGAGAGGGAACCGAGATGAAGCGCGGTACAGACAAGCATGACTGTGTGTGTATGTGTGCGTATGTGTGTGTATGTGTGTTTCGTTGCCCGGTTTCGTTAATCAACCAACATCTGGTATGCAGCCTGGTCCAGGTCCTATACAACAGAAATATTCCTCCACCATAGCTCTGTGGCAGTGCATAGATCTTCATGGTAAGCTCCCACTCCCCAGTCGCCCAGCGCAGTGGAGGAACAAAGTGTCTCATTTCACATTTCAGCATTCGACACCCGGATCTGCTTCACCCGGGGGGGGAGGGAGGAAACCAGCTGTGGGACCCGAACCCGCATCTTTATCGGAAGATGCGAAAGATAATAAAAAGCTAGATGCCGACTCTGGGATTCGAAGTCCAGACTTGCCATTTATTTTTAGCCCGGTACTCCCCAAACCACCTGGGGTTACGTGGTATGTATGCGTTGTGTAAAAAGAGTGCGTGATTGCGTGATTGCGTGTCTGTGTCTGTGTCTGTGCATGTCCGCATAGCAACTTCACACTGTCGATTCCTATAGACAGGCAACGTTGTTCACTGTAGGAAAGCAATCCAACGAATCAACGTTTTAACCTTTTGCGTTTCTCATGGCGCGGGGCTCATGGGTCACATCCCCCTTATGAAATTCGAGCCTACATGCCCTCTTGTCTCTTCCCCCCTTCCTCCTTACCTCCCTACCCCCCCGCCCCACCCTGCCTGTTCTTATCCCCCCCTCCCCTGCGCTTCACCTTCACCCCCTTTTTCACCCCCTTTCACCCCCCCCGCCGCCCATCAGGCTAGACTACGGCCAGCAGGCCATCACGCCCACAGAGAGCCCCACGCAGCAGGATTTCGCATCTCTGGTGGCGGAGGTTCAGCAAGGGGCGTTTGCGAAGCTGCTGGAGGTGGGTGTGGGGTGAAAATGTTGTCGGTGGTGACGGTGGTGGCGGTGCAAGAGCGTGTGTCTGTGTCTGTGTCTGTGTCTGTGTCTGTGTCTGTGTCTGTGTCTGTGTCTGTGTCTGTGTCTGTGTCTGTGTCTGTGTCTGTGTCTGTGTCTGTGTCTCTGTGTCTCTGTGTCTGTGTCTCTGTGTCTGTGTCTCTGTGTCTGTGTCTCTGTGTCTGTGTGTCTGTGTGTCTGTGTCTGTGTGTCTGTGTGTCTGTGTGTCTGTGTGTCTGTGTGTCTGTGTGTCTGTGTGTCTGTGTGTCTGTGTGTCTCTGTGTCTCTGTGTCTGTGTGTCTCTGTGTCTGTGTCTGTGTCTGTGTCTGTGTCTGTGTCTGTGTCTGTGTCTCTGTGTCTGTGTCTCTGTGTCTGTGTCTCTGTGTCTGTGTCTCTGTGTCTGTGTCTCTGTGTCTGTGTGTCTGTGTGTCTGTGTCTGTGTGTCTGTGTGTCTGTGTGTCTGTGTGTCTGTGTGTCTGTGTGTCTGTGTCTGTGTCTGTGTCTGTGTCTGTGTCTGTGTCTGTGTCTGTGTCTGTGGGTTTGGGATGTCCTAGGAGTGTGATGTGATGTGGTCGATATGGTGCAAAACACACAAACAGCACCGGAATGCCGCGGGGTGTGCTTTGACGCGGACAAGGATGATGCCGCCTCTTGCTTCTACTTGCTTCTGATCCGAGTAAATGTCGTGTAAACATGTCGTACATGTGTATATCTACGACAGGTGGACCAGTTGCGGCGGGAGATTACGGCAAAACGCGCCTTCCTGGGGTTTACAGAGGGCCCTATCAACTTCGAGCCAAGTTTCAAGGTACGGTTTGTACAGGGAAGCCGTCGTACAAGTACGGCCAGTTTGCGAGCGTGTCGAATCATTCGAATCTGCTGCGGTTTGATTCTCCTGATTTGATTCACCCTTTCAAAAAACGATTTCCCTCGTGTCGTACAACCTGATTCAATCCAATCTGTGAGCGCACACACATACATACATACATGCATACATACATATGCACGCCCGCCATCTCCGCCAGCTATTGCCTGCGGCTCAGACCTAGATTATTAAAGCACGCATACATACATATATACATACACACGCACATACACACGTTTTCCTTACAGGTGCTGCGACGGCGTGGCCACGAGTACACCCCCCAGCGGAGCCCAGCCTACTGCGACCGCGTCCTCTATCGGTATGAGCTGTGGCTGCTAGGCGGGGGACCGTGCCGCTTCCTTGCCTGCACCTGCTTAACTTGGTGGTGGTGGTGGTGGTGGTGGTGGTGGCGCGGGCGGGGGAAGGCGTCAGCCCTCACGTCCTGGACACGCAGCTCTAGATAACCCACATGCATACTCCAACCGCGTGTGACATACAAAGCTTGGTTAGGCAACCCCCTTTTTTTTCTTCTGGACGGATGGGGGGATAGAAGGATGAAGGTGTGGACAAGTCGATGGCGAAGCACACCTCTCTAAATTTCCTTTACTATAAGTTTACTAATAAGAACAAATGAAGTACCCCACCCAGTGGTACTAGCATACTGATTGGAAAAACATTGCTCGTCCCCATTCGTCACATTCGGGTTTCCAACCTCCAACCTCCAACCTCCAACCTCATGTGTACCCAAAATATAAGGAGGGAAATATTGCCTCGGGAAGGAGGCCACCAGTGAAGCTTAACCACCCTGTAACAACATCAACAACGAGGAACCTAAAACGACGACAACCCACTCCCCCCGCCCTCTTCCCCCCCCCTCCTCGCACACTGCGCCCAGATCTAATCTGCCTCTGAAGCAGATCCGAGTTGTGTCGTACTTCAGCGCCTCGGATATCGCTACCTCGGACCACAAACCCATTGGTGCCGCACTTGTCGTACCAACGGTTTGGCGAACCACCGTGGACGAGACGGCGGCCGGATTCGGTCGCAGTCAGGGCCCGAGTGGTGGCAACCTGGCCATCACCCCGGACGGGGGCGGCTCGATGAACCCCTCCGGGGCAACCGGGGGCGGCGCCCCTCGCGCTGGAGGTCTGCAGGCGCATCCCCACCACCAGCCCTATGCACATGTACGAACGAGCGTACGAGAGTCCGTCAGTGTGTTTATTTGTCCGTACATCTGTCTGTTTGGCTGTTTTTTCTTTTGCTGGCGGTCTGTACCACGACGGTCTGCCTCCATATTGTTGAGCTGTTATGAACTGTCTGTCTGTCTGTCTGTCTGTCTGCCTCTACACATCTCTCCACACACACCTCTCCACCCCCACCCCCCCACACACACATCCCACCAGGTACGGCTCGTATTCACACGGCTCCGGGCTCACGGTCTCTTCATGTTGCGGTCCAGGCGGAGGTCGGCGGTGTCGGTGTCGGCGGAGTTCCCAAGTCCCCAGGTGGGACGTTTTGGGAGTTGGCGGTTCGTGGAGTCGTTGACTTTGTGTGGAAAGTCGTTGGCGATTAGGAGACGGCTCGTAACGACAGTCGATAGAAACCATATCAATATCACATTACCGCGGTTGCTCCGAAATCATAGCAGCAGCCGACGCGTAAATTGATACTTTGCAACGTACAGTTTGGTAAATTACGAGTGATTAAGTTTTGAAACGTACCTCATCTGAATCCTGCTCGATATATTTTTATATTTTTATTTTTATTGCTACCGCACTTATAATCTGTTTGCTTTTTCCAATTTTTCGCGTCGAAGTGCTTCCGTGCATCCTTCTTTCCAAGTTTTTCACAACGCGTTTTAAACCTGAACACCCGACCCACCATCGTTACGCGCGTCCTCAGCTGCTGCTGTCCGCGCCATGCATGCGCGAGGCAGTCGTTCGCTCCAGGGTATCTCCGCAAACTCGGGAACCTCTGTGGGCAGACGTCGAACAGAGCGGACTGGGCCCGCTGGTGGTGGATTTAAAAATGGCGTCGTTGGCGGAAATGGCGCACTTCCGCTTGTGGGTCCGAGTACTGGATCTCCGGGGCGCGGAGAAGGGCGCGAAAAGCGGCAGCAACGGCAACGGCGGCGGCGGCGGCGTCAAGGGGGGAAAGGGCGAGGCGGGTGGCGGTGGTGGCGGCAAGGGAGATGGCGGTGGCGGGGGAGGAGGAGGAGGAGGAGCAGCAGCAGCAGGGGGCGGAAGTGTCCTGGCACGCGGGGTGTTGCCGCTTCTTAACGCTGTGACGATGTTGTTACAGGTGGGTCACCATCTAGGGTTGAACTGGATGGGGGGAGGGAATGGAGGGGAAAGGGGGGAAGGGAACCACCGTAACCTTATCAGGACATAGTTAGTGCTGCTCAGATGTATGTATGTACGTATGTTTGTTTGTTTGTTCGCGGCACTCTCATGGTATCCGCCGCTACTCGGTTTTTCTCTGGTCAGGGTGTGCCGGGTAATGCTATCCTTAGTTTGTAGAGGCCTTAAGGTTTTCCAAGGATCGTAAGGTTTTAAAGTTTTAGGGTTTTAAGGTTTTATGGTTTTAAGGTTTTAAGGTTTTAGGGTTTTATGAGAGCGAATGCGTTAGGACCGGCCACGTGGATCCCCTTCACATCATCACTGCTAGAGACCAAAGCCCCCCCCCTTTTTTTCCGCTGCTCACAACTCTCCCATCTCTCTGCCTTGCATGTGCCTTTGCCCGCTGCTCCTGCTGCCTGGCCAGGTGAGTCCAAAGGGTGGTTCGAGCTTCTTTGGTTTATCGCGTTGGCGTCGGTAGGCTAGCCGGAATAGTTTAGTTGGGTCGGTCGGGTCAGTCGCGCGTTCTAGTTTTTTGGGGGGTTGGGAGGAGCACTTGCATACCGGCAGCCCTTCAGTATCAGCAATTCAGCCTTCTCTCCTGGCCAGCAACTTTACGCCACTTTTACGTCAGCACAATTTTACTCGCTGCCTTCACTACTATTTCTACACCTACTACTTTACGGATTGGCTATACTATTCAGCTTTTTATTTCTGGCGGCTTAGGTAGGTAGGAGTTTCTACATCTACGTCACTTCGTCATCCCGAGGTTACAGTCGTCATAGTCGCCACGGACGCCTTTCGGTCAGTTTTTACGTTAGCTACTATCTTGCCCTGGCAGCAGCTTCAATCGCGTGTGGTTCGTCTTTCCCCCTCCCCCTCCCTCCGTCGTTAGACCCCCTTCCCACCCCCTTTCGCAGCCAGGGCGCTGCTGGAATTGGGGAGTGAAGGCCATGGAAATGGGAAAAACTGCCGTACGCTTCCTGCCGTGTACGCCGCCGGATTGCTGCCTTTTTTACGCGATGCCGTACCTTGTCGTATTGCAGGATGCCAGCGGCGTAGCGCCCTTCCAGGTGATGCTCGAGCTGCACGGCTTGCCCGCAGGGACACTGGAGGGGAACATGAGACTGGAGGTGAGATGGGAGGGTTTTAGGGTTTTGTGGAGCAATTTAAGGTTTTACCTTGGAGCAGTTTTAGGTTGGTTGAGATGCAGTCCAGTCCCGCTGGCCATGGCAATGCACCAAGTGGTCTAGGTAACGCTACTTGCCATAAGGCCCCGAACGCCGTACGCATCAATTAGCGCTTCACATTTGATTTTCTGACTTAGCTGTCGTAATTTCTGTCCTTGCACTGCCGTACAGGTTGTAGATCGCGCCAAGGCCCCAGATCGGACCCATGGTTCTATGCCGCGCTCCGGCTTGTACGACATCGTAAATGACAGTTTTGGGACGCGCGGTTCGGCGGGGGCCTCCGGCTTCATGAAGAAAACATCGTCACGTCGGTCAAGTACGGGATACGGATACGGCGCTGCTGCGGAGAGTAATTCCGCCACTGTAGATTCCGGTCGTGGCGGCGAGGTGGCGGCGGCGGTTGCTAACGCTGGCGTCATCGCGGGTGGCGGCGACAGCGGCGGCGGCGGCTTCATATCAAAGCTGCGCCGTACGTGGACCACCAGCGCCGTCGCGCCACAGCACATCCCGCTACTGCCGCCGCAGCCATTGTACGAAGCAGGCGAAACCTGATCGACGTCTCCCGCCGCCGCGGCTTGTGACCCGAGCTCTTGCGAGACCTTGGCGTCGGTAGAAAAGTTGAAAGGACTCTGAACTCCGCTGCTGCTGCGCTGAGCTGGGTAGCGCAACACCTTGAAATGATAATATACGGTTGGCTTCCGTCAATCTGGTTGTCGGTTATTTCAGTTGCCAAAAGTATGGAAAAAACTTTTGTATCACGGGAGGGAGTACAAGCCTTCTCACCTCCTCTTTGCGCGGTTGATGTTAGGTTTTCTTGTTAGTTGTTAAGTCGTTAACTTTACTCGTGGACGATCATTTGAGATACGGATAATGTACGACCTTCCGGCGCCGCCTAGGCTCTGGATAACTATTTAAGTCGTTGTTGTTGTTTAGTTTGTTATGTCATCATTGTTACATCTTGTAGGTTGTTAGCTGGCTTAAGTCGCTCGGCCCTCTTTGTAATCATCGTGGCATCCCAACGAGAAACGGAGCCTATGCCCTTTCAGTTGGTATCGATCTAGACGATCCGGCCTATACGCTTCGCTCCGCCTTCGTCTTTATCGTCTTCGTCTTCGTCTTCGTCTCCGTCTTCGTCATCGTCGTCATCGTCATCGTCATCGTCATCGCCTTCGTCATCGTCATCGTTATCGTCATCGCTTTGCTGGTCATCTTCGTCTTCGTCATCCTCCAATGGCTCTCGTCCCCACAGAAGCCCACCGCGACCGCTCCCGTTCACGGTCTGCGGAACTTCCGGGCAACGTCCACATGTCGCCATTCACGCTCGACCCCTCTCCCATCCCCCCTATCGTCCACTCCGCCCCTACCGTCCCCATCGTCGACCCCGTCCCCACCACCTCCGACGCCGCTACTTACGTCCCCTCGCTCCAGGAGGCTATCACCTCCGCCGTCTGCGCCGCAATGGCCGAACTCCCTCCGGCCCCATGGTCGACCGCCCAACAGCCCCATCCCGGACTTTACGCCCCCCTCCCTACCATCGCCCAACCTCGGCCGCCACATCTGAACCTCTTGCATGTGTCCCGTGACTTCCCCCCCTTCGACCCCAAGGATCCCCGTGCAGACATCGGGGGCTGGGACATCCAAATGCGACACAACCTGGATATGGCCGGCGTCCCCGAGGATAGTCCGGAGGCTGCTAAAATCGCCCTTTCAGTTCTTCGCGGATCAATGGGCGACAGTCTAAGGCGCCTCAACGCGGACCCCGCCACACGTTTTACATCTTACCAGGCCGTCCTTCAAGCCGTCACTCCCTTGGCCCCGGTAATTCAACGCGAATTGGACGCGCAGCTTGCGATGTTTGGTCTGAAGCAGGGTTCGGGACCAAACTCTCTTCAACACTATATCGCTAAATACAAACAACTTATGGCTGACCTGTCCTATCGTCACGAGAAAGACCATGTCCTCTTCTTTGCGAGAGGACTACGGGCCGACTTAAGGGAGGAGCTCTTCTCGCGCCTTCGCCATTTGGGTTCCTATATGCGGTTGCAGGATTTAATCGACCTCGCGCTCACCATCTCAACGGGGCGCGACGCTGCCAACCGCATCCGCGACGACCCCTCTCCGCCTCGACCACGGGATCATCGCCGGAACGACCCGATGGACACCTCCGCCGCCCTGGTCCGTCTACCCCAGGGCACCCGCACCATCAACGTACCCGCCCAGCTCCGCCACCAACGTCAGGACGCGGGCCGGTGCTTGCAGTGCGGATCGGAGTTCCATGATAAGCTTTCGTGCCCGGACCTTATTCACCTGGTACGCCAGCAGTCCTCCAGGCCTCCTTCGCCCTTCCGTGGACGCTCCCGCCCCAACGACCGCTCGCCCTTTCGTTCCACCACCTCTCGAACCGCAAACCGCTCTCCCTCCCGCTCCCCCTCCCCCTCTCCGACTCGCACCGACAATTCCGACCGCCGTCGTCAGGACAACGACCGTGGACGCACCTTTCTCTCCAGTTCAGACAGCCCCCAGCCTTGCCGCGATGACCAGCACCGCCGCGCCGACCCACCCCGCCGCCGCCGCCGTTCGCCTCGATCCCGTCAACGTGGCCTTTAAGCCACCACCGGCAGAACAGGTTAGCCACAGCTTGCCGGTGCGTTTTGCTGTGCAACGGTCAGCCGAGTCTGACACCCCGCCGCCGTCACCGTTCAACGTTTCGCGCCTAACCCAGATCGCCAGTAAGCCCGCCCGCCATGTAGGTTGTATGCGTGCTCGTGTAGCTGCAGCCTCCACGACGGAAGCGCACCGGGTGGACAGCGACTGGATGCTTTCGCGCACCGTCTTCGTCCTCTCTTATCTCGTCGTCTCCATCGTCACCTACTTCGTCGTCTTCGTCTCCTCTTATCTCGTCGTCTCCGTCGTCACCTACTTCGTCGTCATCACCAACGTTCTTCGTCTCGCGAAAATCGTCCGTAAGCCTGCCCGTCTTGCCGGCTGCAAGTGTGCTCGTGCAGCTGCAACCTCGACAACGACGGGAGCATTCCAGGCGAACAGCGATTACACCCTTTTACTCTCACGTCTTCATCCCCCACCCTGTTCCCTGATACCACCCTTCACCCCGTTTCCACCTCGTCCCATCCTTCACCATCTTCTGCCAACCATCCGTCATCGCCTTCAAGTCTGTCAGAACTCTCATCGTTCATTTCTCCAGTCCCCATCCAGCACCTTTGCCCCAACCATCGGCCTGCCCTTCACCTCAACCTACTGTTGCTAATCTTATCACCAGCCTTCTCACCGTCGTCCTCCAGCTCCACCCGCCGTGCCCATCACACTGGAGTCACCGTACGACCACGCCGACACTA